GCCCGGCTTCCTCTATCACACCCATCAGAACCTGTTGTCAGGAACCCAAAGTGTGTTTGTTTCCTGCCAGACAATGAATTTCCTGGGCGTAGGGATGGTCTTATTTGTCTCTTTCCTCAGTAATTTGAACAGGTCCTGGACACAGGGCAGGCCTAATTCGGTGTTTTTTAAATGGTTGTTGATGAAAGAGTAAATGTGTGGCCATCAGTAACGTACCAACAGTTTAAATTTTATTCTACGGCTACGGAAAACTTTAGCCGTAAGGGAGGAACTTGATGACATTTGTGCGTTGTGCAAACTCCTCTGCTACCAGATTATAGGGTAGGCAGTGGGGGGGAAGGTGGTCTCAGGGGGGCTGGGTTGGAGGCTCCTGCAATGGTTTAGGGTAGGAGCCCTGGGCCAGGAGGCTCTGGCCGAAGGACGTTAGGGAGAAAGGACTGAGAATAAGTCAGACCGGCTGGATTTGGCAACAAATAGGATAGGATTGTATGATTTCAAACCGAAGGTATTGGACTACCTCTCATATCTTCTTAATTTGGTCCCAGTCTCCAGGGTGCTCCCGAATATGTAGATACAACTGAGACCATGTCTCTACCTGCTTAGGTTTCCTGGTCTGGAATGAATTTGCCTTTGAAGACTCTATGCCTTGTGTTGGCTTTAGAGCTGTTGGGTAAGCGTGAGCTGTAAAATCAGGGCTATGGATTTTCTTTTTCTTTTCTTTTGGTCTAAGAAACATAACTTCATTTTCTATAACTTCCCGATTTCCAATCCTGGACCCCCATTCACCGAGCTTCAGGGAAACCTAATCTCAGCCGTTCTTGGTCCTCTGTCCCCCTTCCCAGGATGGCATCAAGGGCTCCTGGATACCTGATGCGGTGCCAGGGCCTGGGTGGGGGCAGCTGATTCTTAGCCATCGTGTTGCCCTTGAGACATCCATCGCCTCTGCCTCTTGGCTCTTTCATGTCCACCTGCTTAGGTGTGAGAATTTTCGGACACTGTCTTCCTGGGATCAGCATGCTGTCATTTCCTCTCGGGGCCTTATTAGACCCTAGGAACACTACAAGGAAGTAGGGTGCAGGAACCCTCCAACCTTGGGACCCACAGATCCCTCTCTTCTCTCCCTTGTCCTCTCCCTCTTCTTCACCCAAAGGAAACTTTCTAGGGAGGAAACAGAGAAATCCTTCTCCGAGACATTTATCTATTCCACCAAATCTTCTCCCCGCTTTAGGGCTTAGGTATGGAGGGAAGCCAGAGGTCCTGTAGGACGTCCTTTACTTTCCAGCTCTTATTGGTCACATGTGTCCATGGAGGCAATGAACATGGGACTCCTAACAGCTGCTGGTGGGTGAGAAGTGGGCACCGGTGGGAAAGGGAGAAAATATAAGGACGAAAACAATTAAATAACATTCCAACATAGTAAACGACTACATTTGTAAGTCTAATAGGCATAGGAAGGGGGATCTGGATGTGCACGCCCTAAGGTGCCACCAGCAGATTCTTTGAGGGGTTACAATCACAGGCTGATAACCTTTTCTGCTTAAATTCCTTTTCTGCTTTTTCGGTAATGAGCACACATTGCTTTTATAAAAGGAAGAGTAATTCAGCAAAGTTCGTTTCTGAAGAAAGATTCGGGAACAAAAGACCCATTTAGGTACCACCTCCATAGTGAAGTGCCCGTCCCCCCCAGCAGAACCCTGTCCCTAGGTTGTATCTACACTCTCTCCCACACATTTGACTAATAGCATCGGACCGCTAACTCTTTATAGCAGCTATTTATGTTCATGTCTGCTCCCCTCTTAGATCTGGGGCTTCTTAAGATCAGTGACCATTGCTCTCTCATCTTTAATCTTTAACAGATAGTTCTAAATGCCTGGCATCTAATCACCACTCAGTAAATATCTGTGGACTAAATGTTGCATTGCGTTTTCAAATTTTCATAGAATTTTCGATAAGATGTCTCATTTAGTTTTCATGTTTCTCCCTTTATTTATTTTTTTATTATTAAGCTGACATGCACGTGTTCCAAATAGTATTGCAAATTTTACATCAACATTGAGTGGTGCCCATGCCTTCTCCCTAGTCCAGAATCCTGATTCCCAAGGTACCTACTTCAATTCTTTCTGCTCTTTCTTTTGGTATTTACCATGCTATTTCTAAGCCACATGCCTACCTGCCACTTCTTGACTTCTCAATTAAGTGGTTTAGTGCTGTAAATGAAATACCATTTACCCATGGCCTTGACGCCTGTTGCCCTTTCAGGCTTTCATGTCTGGACACGTGAACCCAAATGGGGGCGGTTGGGGACTCTGACGGTCGCTGTGTGTCATACACGTTAGACCTGACCCACTTGTATAACGTGGTATTTTTCCAAGTGCCTTTTATACACCGTGAAGTCCTCACAACAGTATTGTGAGACTGGTATTAAGATTCCCATCTAGGGGCGCCTGGGTGGCTCAGTCGGTGAAGCGTCTGCCTTCAGCTCAGGTCACGGTCCCAGGGTCCTGGGATCGAGCCCCGTGTCATCAGGCTCCTTGCTCAACGGGGAGCCTGCTTCTCCCTCTCCTTCTGCCACTCCCCCTGCTTGTGTTCTCTCTCTCTCTCTGTCAAATAAATAAATAAAATCTTAAAAAAAAAAGGATTCCCATCTAATGGATGAGAAAACAGGGGCTCTAAGCGTTCTGTGACTTACCCAAAGTCACACAGAGGGCTGGTTAGTGGTCTGGCTGGAACTCAAGCAGGCTCCTTCCTGCCCCAGTGTGCACCACCACCCGTTTGCCAAGTGCCAAGAACTTAGTTTTCTGTCAAACTTTCAAGTTCAATACATGAGGACAGCCAGAGTTCCAGAGGCTAAGTCTTGGCACGCCTGGCAACTCCCCTCAGCGACCTCGCAGGAGACAGGCAGCCCGCTCTGAGCTGTCAGGAAGCCTGATCCTCAAGTTCTTTTTTTTTTTTTTTATTCTTATGTTAATCCCCATACATTACATCATTAGTTCTAGATGAAGTGTTCCATGATTCATTGTTTGTGCATAACATCCAGTGCTCCATGCAGACTGATCCTCAAGTTCTTAAGTGCCACCACGCTTGTGGGGTTTGGCAGCTTCTCAGGGAGCCCTTCCAGCCCCAACGGAGGGCAGGGGTAGCTGCCCACTGGACTCCCTTGTTCTTCTCGTTCCTCTCTTGGGCAGAGGGATGGCAAAGGGGAGGAATGTTATTTTCCCCCAAGGTC